GGACTAAACGACATCCCGAAGCTGTAATGTGCCTCTATTAAATTATTTTCACGTAAGATGGGCCGTGAGTTCGAGTGCAGGAGCTTCTGTAGTGCTGACTGTGTTTTGAATATAAAAAATGATCAGCGTCACGATTTTGCTTTTTAGTTATCGCATACCAGCTCTTCTGTTCCAAGCACTACTCTGTTCGCGACCGACAAAGTGGCGCTGATCATTTGCAACTCACAGTATCAGTATTTGCAGAAACTGACTACGCCGCCGTACGACGCTGAAACCTTGGCGGAGGCTCTCATACATCTTGGATTCAAAACCGTTACGCTGGCTGATTTGAATTTGCATGAAATGAAGCTTATTGTAAACGAATATTGTGCTCTCCTTGGCTACGGTGTTTATGGTAAGACCTTTGATCATCGTTTTGTGTCGTAGAAGCGTAATGCACTAAAATTATCACTCAAAATGATGTGCCCCTCTTATAATAATCAGTCATGATATTCAGTTGATTGTCGTCATTTTTGTCGATTGTAATGTCCAGTGGGGTCGTTCCAGAAAGTGGTAAAATTTCGGTATCCATTTCTTTGACTCTTTTGAAGTTTGCGTTTCATTGCTATTAAAGTAGTACTTGTAAGTTAGAGCCAAAATACTTGAGAATGGAGCACTTTCACGCGTGTTGCGTTGTTGAAGTCATGAATTTGCCGTTTATTCCCTGGTGATTATTAAAATTTAATATTAATTAATCTGCATTAGAAGAGCTTGATTGACTGTGCTTAGATAAAAATCTGATCTTCATTAGTTTTATTTCGCTTTCCACAGACTCAATAACACAACGAATTATTGGTAACGTCTCGATGTATGAAAGCTTGCAGTTAGTTAACATTTGCTGGTCGTCGTTGAGGCGGCCGTAGGATTCTGGGAAAAGAAATTTACGATTCACCGTTTAAAAGACTTTATCGTGAGCCAAATAAAAGACCTAGTCATTACGGTAGAAAATGTATCTTCGAAGTTGCTACGAGACTCCTTAACGTTTAGTCATCAATGGGAGGAAGCGATGTTAATGATGATAGTGGCTCTCCCTGTAGTAAAGCAGTCGATCGCGCTTCTTTTGATCAACGTGCGATTACTCTAATTCAGAAGGTCTTTCGAGGTCTACCCGCATAATGTGTTGTATGACCAGGTCATTGATTTTTAGGTGGCGTTTAAATTGGATCATATTTACGTAGTTTAGAATGGTACATCTTGGAAACCATTTCTTGTGTTCATCTTCCTTAAATGATGGCTGACTGACCATGTTATTTTTGTGTTCATTAAAATGCGTAGAAAAACAGCTCAGAATGCCTAGGCTTTCACTGCTGCTTTCAAGTAAGAAAATTCACCTTACCTTATCTGCTTGCCTGCTGCTCCTCGTCGCCTATACGGTTCTATAGCTTTAGTAATTTCTGAATGAACGAATATATTAATCTTCTTCCAAGTATGCTCGTTTTCCCTCATCATCTCTCTGCCTCTTCTGTTACTCTATGGTAAATGGAAGTCTTTTCTCTGATTGTAGATGTGTATTTTTCTCTCTATATTGCACGTTGTCCATTTGGATGACGCATGTAATGTTTCAGTGCACACATTAGACGCTCACTTAATGGGTTTAAACTGTTTTCAAACGGTTTCTCTAACATGTCAACCTGTCGTGCCTAATTTTTACAGTCAACGACCATAACTTCGCCTCGTGAAGAATATTGCCATTTAATGACTTTTGTTCAACTGTAATTGTGATGTATCGAAGCTGGTACTGCTGTTCAGCATTCGTTGACGCCAGTAGTTATGAAACCGCAACAAACCGAGATTCGGCTTTCAGTGCTCTACACCATTCTTCTTGTTCTCATCGTCCTCTGAGGCTAAGAAAGCTTGAACATCGCAATGGCTACGATATGTAATATCTGTTTTCCTTTGTACGTCCGATGTTATGGGATTTCATATAGCGTTGTCTGCTTCTGCTACAGCAAGCGTAATATTCGTCGTCAACAGTAGATCACTTTTAACAAAGTAGCTTCCACGATTTGTGTGATATTTTCCTTCCACGCACCAATGACCAGTGTACTTTAACTTGCTGAAGATATTAAACATTCTTCATAGATGAGATATCAGAATATGACATATTAATAGTATGCGAGGTCAAAAATTCATGCCAAATTAGCGCTGATGACATTACAGTGAAACATAATTCGAAATTTAAAATCCGAAAATTCGTTTGAGTTTCAGCACCCCAGATCTGAATAATTTCAGATTTACAAAACTCGAAATGTTTGATTGGGTTAAATTAATGATTGGTATATAATTAAAAAATAGTACTATATTATAAGCTTTGCTGAATGATACTTTAAATCGCGCACTTAATGGAATGAGAAAGCAGTAGGCTGAATGAATTTCAGGGACGGAAAACATCCGTAATCTGCTCCACCCTCCAAAAAGACTGCATTTGAATCCGGGTCCCAGTCAACGCCTAATTTATAAAATGAAACTAGTCTGCCTCCAGATGCTAGTTCCATTTATCGTCGGAAAATTGCAAGCTACATCGACACGCATCAGTCATTTTTTTGCAAGCGCTAAATGGTTTAATAGTGGTAAAAAGGCGCGACGCCAGTATACGAAGCGCCTAATTTTACAAACATGTTTTTGTTTCATCTCAAATTATTCAGAACCAAATCTATTGAAGGGGCTAAATTTATTTTCATTTACAAAAATTTTGTATGAAATACCCTGGTTCATTTTGCATTCAAAAGCAACTTTGAATTGCTCTGACATTTCGAATTAGTTTCCAATTATTTTTTAATTATCCACAGTATACTGTGAAAATGGTAGTCTTATGTTCGAATCTTCTAATTGTAGGTACGATGAAAATTGAATGACTGTAAGACTAGCATTTCTGACAACCATAGCTTTCCGGTTGATCGCGAGTACTGACGATATCAGTATATTGGAAGCAACTAAGTGACTGCACTGAAGTTACTACCTAAGTGCAAATGTTGCCTTTAAATGAGTATTGAGCCTGTGACCGGTATCATGTTATGGGGACCAGCGTAATATTATAAAGTTTATTAAAAAGATGGTACAATTCATCGAAATGCACTGACATCCCGATTGCTACAAATATTCCTTTTTCCTTTGTAAGACTATCAATCGATTCTGATTACCCAAACTGTTGGCCTTTAAATCAAATGTTTCTACTTTTTTAATGCCTACAAAAACTAAATGAAGTAAATATTTAGTAACACTCATAAATACTGTTTCGATGCTTTTTTGTCAGTGATCACGTTTTTGTGAATAGCCGTTTTCTACTTTGTTGGGCACGGCTTCGAATTCAACGGACAGTGCTATTTGATTCCGGTGGATGTGGCAGATGAAAACGTTTCTTGCTCAGTGTGTTTGTGTGCCGAGGAGGTGCTTGCTTTGATGCAGGAAACAAACCCGGCGCTGAATCTTTTGCTCCTCGACATCTGTCGGAAGTAAGCGTAATGCGATGACTCTTTGTTAATACTTGTATACGGCGTTTCGTCAATGGTTGCTATCTGTTCGGATGAATTTAAATAGTTATTTCGAAATCGCCACTCTTTAGATCTGACATAGTTTGATTTCGTCAACACCAGTTAATTTGAAAAGGCAGATAAATTCCTTCGTTCTCATTTTAATGTTAATTAAGGATTTGAAATAAATTTGAATAATGAAACAGTACAGGAACATAGCCTGCATAATGCAAGCAGTTGATATGTGTGATGATAAAAAAACTGCCGACGTTTCAGCTTTCTCTCAGGGTAAAGGTGATTTTCTGTTGTTGTTACTGTCATCGTCTGCACTAGCTGGAATTTGTTCAGTCGTTCGTAAGACTGTCCATAAGTTCGTAAGTTCGTACATATACTGTTTCTTCAGTAGCTTCAAATCCGCAAACCCCATCGACCTTTCCGTCTTCTGTCACGATCGATATTTTCGCTGGACTGGATGGTTAATGCATTTTTAGCTCTGTTGATCAGCCACTTTCACTCGCTAATCATTTAGATACACGTGACAGTTGGAAAAGGGCCTTTTGTTGTCGCATGGGGCATTATTCCTGACTTGATTTCGCTGAAAAACAATACTAATGCGATTTATGAAAACGTACTGCTACACAGTTAACCTCTCAATGATAGATCCGTACGAACGTATTTTTCCGTATCTCACTGGCTTTCTTCAAGGAAACCTACAGTTGTGTTTTTTGTAAACATTTTATTGTTCTTTTTCAGTATTGTAAAATGTTCACGAGGCTGCGTCCAGCAGAGAAACGCGATGGCATTGAATGGTTTACTATCTGCCGCATTTAGTGCCCCAAACCATGAATCATTCAAACAGCCATCGATATTTTTTATTCATCCTTTTTTTTGAACCAGATATTGAAACTTGAAAGACTTTCAGATCAGTACAGGATGAGTTGAAGAAGCTCATTGGATCAAAGTGATGAAAATGATGAAAATGACAGGTAACCTTATCAGTGGCAAAGTCTTGGAGAGGCATTCACGAATCTGTGGATCAACAGAGGCTAATGGTGGTAAAAATTTTGTAACAACATTTGAAGAGAAACACTGGAATGGCTCGCGGTTTCTACGCTTAGTCAGAGTTTCAAAGTGTTGCATTACTGTTTTGGCAAAAATGGTGTAGTTACCCACCGAGCTACTCTGCTGCGGTGAGAGTTCATCCCGTCAGCAGCTTGGCAGTTGGTCTTCTTATTTTGATACGAAGCCCTATCGCCTGATTGAAAATCGTTATTACTCATCGATAATGTACAAATACTTAAACAACTGAAACCGTATATATCTGTTCAACTCTCACTGTCTCTTTAATGCATGTTTATAGAACGTTGGAGTCAATTCTATCAGGTTTCCCATCTGTTCTTTTCAGGGTAATCAGATCTAAGGTTTGCGAGCTAATTTTCAGGCCTTGGTCATCCAATCCACTATGCAGCAATAAACTGATGGAATGTCGTCGTACACGTTTCCGCTTGAGAATGTATAGGGCGTCCCGTTATTTTCAGTTACGCCACCGATCATCCAAAAATGATACCTTGAGAACTGTCGCGGCTCAGCTGTGCTGCCCGTTTTCCGGAGGTACGATAGAAAGTTTTACGATCGACTTGCGACATCCAGTATCTGGGCCCAACCTTTCAAAATTTAATATGGCGGTGGTCACGTTGCCTGTAACATAACTTCGAGCAACGCCTGTGCAGCCTGCTACAATAGCAAAAAGTGGATTGTCCATGTAAAACGTTTGGTGTGTTGGAAAAATTCACCTTTCAAGTTGAACTAAGTTTGGGATGAATTAACCTTTTCTGTGCCAAAGGTTACTGAATTGTACATTTTGCTGAATCATGCCACTGTCATTACCTTGTTTTATTGATTTATGTTTTAATTTAAAGCGTTACTGATAAATTCAATAGTAACTGATATGAAAATCAAAATAAACACGTATTGGACTTCATAAATGGCGCTGTGCTTCATTCGGGCATTTTAATCCGTGTCAGTTTCTAGCCGTACTCGTAGAACTGGGCGTAGGATGAGTATTGCTGTTGTATTTTGCAGTATATTTTTAGACCTCTAAAAAAACTTTTAATGATGAAGATAACTTGGCGTAATGGAATTACTACATTATGTATTTGAAGTAGGCAGTAAATTTATGCATCAGTTCGTGCAGACCGCCGTACAAATCCTCATTTCGCTGTTTTAATCGGTGCATTATGAGTTCCGGCACTTGAAACATTCTTGTTGAACAAAAGGTTGCTCTAGCGAATAAACTGACTCTGAGTGGAT